GAGAGAGATTGACTCACCCTGTTGGCGTAAGTGCCTACAGCATCAGCGAACCCGAGACCGTATCTCATTCTCTGAAACTTCTGGCCGGCAATGGCGGCGAGGCAGCCGTGCGAGGCCGTCAGAACAGATGCTAGAAACAGCGACTTCCACATGGTGGACTTCTGCAAAGGCATTTCCTGCAATGTATAAGATTGTTTATCATTACATATCATTATGTATATATATATATGTGTGTGTGTGTGTGTGTGTGTGTGTGTGTGTGTGTATGCATGTGTATATGTGCATGCGTGAGTATGCATGTGTGTGTGTGTGTGTTTGTGTGTGTGTGTGTGTGTGTGTGTATGTGTGTGTGTGTGTGTGTGTGTGTGTGTGTGTGTGTGTGTGTGTGTGTGTGTGTGTGTGTGTGTGTGTCCGGTATTTGTGTGAGTGTGTGTGTATGTGTATATATCTTCACACGCACACACACACACACACATACATACTCACGCATGCACATATACATATGCATACATATACACACACACATACATACATATATATATATATATATATATATATATATATATATATATATATATATATATATGTGTGTGTGTGTGTGTGTGTGTGTGTGTGAGTGTGCGTTTGTGTGTGTATTTATAATATATATATATATATATATATATATATATATATATATATATATATATATACATATATAAATGTATATACACAGACCCCCGCCCTACCCGTGGCGGCGAGCGCTCCTCACAGCCGTCCGCCGGAAAGGGTCGTCCTTGACTGCCTCTTCCTCCGCCGCCGAGTCTCGTCCGCAGCTCTGGCTCATGCGACGCGAGCTGCGGTTCGATCCATTGCACTTTCACGCGCGAATACTTTTTTTTTTCATTTACGTATGCCTCAAATTGAAAATAACGATATCGAACACAGAGAAATATTTCACCAATCAAACCCAATTTAGTAAACCAATTTATTTAGCCGTTTTCGCTGTCGCCCTTCTAATGCCTACCTTCCGCCGCCCCGTCCGCGCCAGACCTTTCCGTCTATCAGAACCACGCTGATAGACGGTCCTTTGGTCCTTATGACGAGGTTCTATGAAGTATCTATGGAAACACACACATATATATATACATATCTGTGTGTGTATAACAGTTATATTAGTTTACACATACGCACACACACACATACGCACACAAACACAAATACATACATATATATATTCATATATATATATATATATATATATATATATATATATATATATATATATATATATATATGAATATATATATATATATTTTTTTTTTTTTTTTTTTTTTCATCAGCCATTCATTCCACTGCAGGACATAGGCCTCTCTCAATTCAGTTGAGAGGTTATATGGCGGTGTCACCCTTGCCTGATTGAATGCCCTTCCTAATCAACCGCGGTTGGGCGCGTTAACACCTGTGCCACGGCGGTGACTTCCCCTACGACACCTGCGTTTGACTTCTCAAGGCGATATGTCGTTTTCTCGGGCTCGAGGCAGCAGTCAGAGCGCAGGCATTTTTACGACTGCCGCGACGGGGAATTGAACCCGGGACCACGAGGGTGGGAGTCCAGTGCTCTAACCACTGAGCTATCGCGGTACATGTACATATGTAAATATACATATATATACATGTGTATAAATATGTATAGGTACCAGTATATATGTATATATATGTATATACATATATATCCCAATGCCGACGGGTATGACGTGTACGTATGTGCTATGCCCACCGTGACTACTTGTTTGATTGTTTTTACACATAAATGGCAACACCTGTGCTAACTCCCCAATGAGCCAGTTACGAGTACTGCCCGTCTCGCCCGTTTACTCTTTTCTTTGATTTACGAAATATTTTACGTTATCTGATTTTGCTGTTACTAATGTTAAAAACCATTATAAGAATTATAATGTTTATGATAAAAATAACACCATCGATTTTCATAGCACTAGTGAAAAATACGTTTTTCCGGCCATTTCAAATCAGGCGCTAGCAGAGCCATCTATCGGCAGACATTTCACGAAAAACATAGAAAATAGGCACAGCATTTTCCCCATTTTTTTTTCATTTTCCCCGGCCGCATTGGGATATATATATTTATAGGGGAAAGTGGGGTAAGATGAGCCACTTTTCAGATTTTTTGACCTGGAACCCTTATCATTTAAACCAGTCGGTCTCTCTCTGCATTAATTTCTACATTAGCTGTTTGCCTCTCAACATGGGAAAAATTTCTTTTATCCGCATACATTTTCGACATTTTTAGGGACTTCAAAGATTTTTCAAAAAGGTTCATCTTACCCCTACTTTTCGGGGTAAGATGAACCGCATCATAAGATAAGAGAATGAAAAGAAATTCTTCTTAAAATCAGGAGATATTTCAAAATTTTATTAGCAAGTATACTTCAATCCTTCCTTTAAGCGAAATTAAGATCTAAACATAACGATTAATGTCCAATAATGCCCATTACTAGAGTTATGACAAATTAAATATTTTTAAGTCACAGGGGAAAACTAGCTGGTTTGATTTACGTAGACTTCCACGCATATTTTTGGGGGCTGGTAGAACCTTCAATACATCTTGCTTATGGAATGATGCCTCATCACTATGGTCAATAATAAAAGCAGGTTTCTCTTCTTCAAGCCTATGTCCTGAAGTTTTCTTCATGAAAACTCCCTCTAGCTCATTGCCATCCACAATATCAACTCTTGCGACATATCGCTGAGAGATTCCCTTTGCACTATTGATGCTTACAACGACAAAATCACCTTCCATGATCTCGTCATCCGATGAATTGTCGTCAGAATCTACGGTTACTGGCTCCATCATATCTTCTTCGTCCTCACTATCACTTAAAGCCACATCAGATGCAGTTTTCTCAGGTGCTTTTCTCTTGCTAAAGAGGTTCTTTTTTGATACTTTGTTGCTCGACGTACTAGCCCTATCTTTCTTTCCTTTCTCTAGTGCCACTTCATCGCGGATAGGGGTATCCGTAAGTATTCTGGTGGCTCTTTTCTTTCTCCCTCCTTTGAGCTTTCTAGGTTGAGCTTTCGGGAAAGGATATATTAGTGATGGTGAGACGTATACCACACCTGCGCTCGAACTTGGCAGTGTTTCCACATCATTGTCGATTGTACCAGGGACTATCTCATGACACTGAGCACTGTCTTCCCTGGCCTTATCTTTGTGACCATCGTGTTTATGCGTCTCACTCTCACCTAGTGCAGCAGAAGTGCCCTCAGCTGTTTCGGGGTTTAGGCGGTCAGTTACCTCCGCTGCAGCAAAATCCGCATCTGTGAATATACCCCTATTAAAGGGATAGATGCCAGTGGCTGCAAAGCCCGCTTTGATATTCCGAGGTGTTATTGCTTGGAGCTGAGCCTCTGCAACGATTGTTGGAATGTCATATATTGTAACTGTTCTTCCCGGATGAGATCGAATCCATCCATCCATTGCTATATTATATGCCTTCTTAAAAGGACCATAGACGGCTCTGTCAAGAGGTTGCAGTCGATGGGATGTATGGGGTGGCAGCGTTAGAAGAACAACGCCATTTTCACGAGCCAGATCGATTGATGTAATGGTGATGTGAGACTCAACATTATCTAATACTAGCAATACTTTTCTTTCTTTAGTACAACGAGTGTGTTGTATAAAATGGTGCATATACTCAGAAAATAGTTCTTCATTCATCCAACCAGAACGGGATGCTCTTCCAATAGCACCACTAGGGGCACCGTTCAGAAAGTGATCACGATAATGCACCCTAGGAAATACAAACAATGGAGGAATAACGTTACCAACAGCATTTACACAGTACTCTACTGTTACTAGCTCTCCACGCTCTGCACTTGTCAGTGATCCAACTTGCTTTTTGCCCCTCTGTGCAACAACTTTTCCTGGGTTTTGTACAGTAGTGCAGCCAGTTTCATCCAGATTCCATATGTCATTGGCAGTGAATTTGTGCCTGTCCATAACGGCAGCAAGGTTGTTATAGAACTGGGTAACATTGTAACGGTTGAAGGCAGTTGCACGAGCCAGAGAAGTTGACTCTGGAGCTCTAACGGCCAACTTGTTTCTGTCCTTAAATGAGAGGAACCAATCCTTCCCAGCTTTTTTTTCTCTGCCCCAGCTTTCAGGAATCGGAATGTCATTTGATTTTGCAAACTCGTAAGCTAGTGCCCGACATTTCGCCACGCTAAGACCATGAAATCGATCAGATAATTCCTTGATGTGCAGTGCCAAGTCGTTCTCCATTTGAAGAGGGAATATGCGCTTGGATGCCGATAGTCTTTTGTATCCAGTTTGGATTTCATTATCTGCTTTGCCTCTAGATTTCATGATAAAACGACGCAGTGTGGCTCTGTCAATATCAAAATTGCGTGATACTTCTCTCAAACTAGCACCAGCAATGAATGCATCAGCAGCTCGTTTCATAACATCAAGGGGAACAGCAGCCCGTTGTGTCTTTCTAACATAATTTCGTGGCATCTGAAATCAAATACCACATTAAATACAACTAGAAATTTGCAAAATAATATTAAAAAGCCTGTTGGGGTAAGATGAACCATCTGTTCATCTTACCCCAATTTTAAAGGTTCATCTTACCCCACGACAACCATTTTGAATAAATTAGTTGCCAACACGGTGCTTCGAGTCGAATCGAAATGAAACATGGGCAGAAGAATAGTCAAAAAATGAACAAGCCTTTAATAGTATAAGATGAAAATAGCACAAATACTTACCACAGTAGTAACTGTTAATTACAATTAACAATATTTCACTTTTTGGTCCAAGATAGAGTCTTTATCACATAAAAACTGATACACTGCAAATAAGAACGTGTAGCTCCGTCAGAGGCCTGTGATGATAGAAGGCCTCGGGTGGATGGCACCACAGGTTTACGAGATTTGTAATGACGTCAGCACAAGAGGTGGTTCATCTTACCCGACGGTTCATCTTACCCCAGTTTCCC